CTATAGGGTAATGATTCCAGCTATTGGAGTGAAAGAAAGGAACTTTAATAGATATAAATGGTCAATTAGTTAAATTCTATTCAGAATTATAATGAAAACCAGAGAATGTATTAAATGAAGACACAGAGGCCTTTTAAAATAAAATTAACCTAGCGTGTTTGAATGATACACAAAACCAGTGCTTTTTTCTTGCTGTTTAGCTACAGTATTTAAAGTAGAGATTAAACAAATAATTTAAAAAATGGCAAATGGTAAAATTCCTTATAGAGTGGTATATTTATATTTATAGCCCTTTTAGTGCCAAAACTATGTCAATTGTATGATGAGATATTTGATAAGGGAATTTTATTTGCAGGATTTGATCAGGCTTATATTATAGGTTTACCAAAACCAGGAAAAGATACACTCTGTGTGCTAATTATCATCCAGTCTCATTGATTAATGTTGACACGAAGACCTTAAATGCAGTGTTGGCAAATAGATTACTGCAAATGATACTGTTTATTATTAAGAATGCTCATCAGTGTTTATGAAAAACAGGCAAGCAGCGGACAACATCAGGTTAGCTGTAGATTTAATAGATTTGAATAAAAACAAAGCTCAGATTGTAATTTTATGATTAGAGGCTGAAAAAAATTGACAAAATATATAAACAATACATGCTTGCCATATTAAACAGGTTTGATTTCCTTCTGAATTCATAATGTGGATTGAGATGTTATATAAGATATATGAGTTGGCATAATGGTTGCTAAATGAATGAATCTACTATTTAAGCTTAAAGTGGTGTTTGCTTTGTTTTTTATAACTATATTACACTGGTGACATCTTTGTATGTGTGGGTGGGGGGGGGTGAACTAGAGTTTTGAAATCTTTCTCAGAAATTTTGTGGTCAGCCTGTCCTCTGCATGTGCTTTGATTATTTTTACCCCAATGAAGGTTTTTGTATGATCTCTGTGAGGAAAAATCTCCACATTCTTGGAGGCCAGCCTTAAGTAGGATGGCATTGCCACCTCCCAGAGCAATAGTGTGAGTCAAGAAGAGCATCAGATTGTACTGTATTCTCAAGTTTTGTCTATTGTCATGAACTAGCAGCAAGCTTCTCTCCCCTGAACAGTTTTGACCTAAGCTTCAGTTGACAGGTTCATCCGTTCAATTTCCATACATATATTCTCAACCTTCCCAGGTAGACCGGACGGGAAATGCAACTAGATAGGCTAATTCTACTTTATTTTAGGACTTTATTAGAAAAAAAAAAGTGCAAGTCTGATTGTACAAATCTTCCCCACCCCATTGTGTTTTTTGTAGCCTAATAAGTTATGAAGTTTCTGAGTTTCTCTATCCATTATGCAGCTGCAGGTTGTGTTATCTTTTAATTGATCATTCTCTAGACACCATCTTCTCTTTCCATTCTCCTAAGGTCCTACCCACATACCATTATATACACAGAAAGGGACAATATGCAGAAGCAACATAATGTTTTGAGCAGTCTTGATTCCAGGTTGCTAGTGCAGCTTCTCCTGCAGCATGGAAATTTATTCTGGGCTTCAGGATCTGAAATCTCCCAGTTTAGGACTTCTCCAGCTCCTGTCCAGTTGTGCTTTGCTGCCAATTACACACACACACACACAGAGAGAGAGAGAGAGAGAGAGAGAGAGAGAGAGAGAGAGAGAGAGAGCTAGATTTTGGTATAAACTCAATGGATTTACAGCAGATGTAAATCGTTTACATAAACACATAACATCACATTTAACTCTCTGCTTAGGAGAACAAAAAGGCAGAGATTTTATTTTCAGACAATCCAAACAGACAAAACACTAGGAACCATCTAAGCATGGTTCGTCTCCAGTATGAAGTAGCATGTAATAGGATTGCAGGTGAATGGAGGTAAAATACTGATCACCACAAAGAATCAGTCTAGCTGTCTGTTTCTTTATATAGATCTTACTGCTGGCTTGACAAAAATCACACTTTTTTTCTTTCAAATAATTTGATTGACTTTCCTTGCTCTGCTTTTCCTAATTTGCAGTTTGTGTTGATGGGCTCCTGACCTTGTTTAGCAATAGCACTTAGACTTATATACCACTTCACAGTGCTTTACAGTCCTCTCTAAGTGGTTCACAGAGTCAGCATATTTTACAGAGTCTCACAATCTGGGTCCTCATTTTACCCACCTTGGAAGGATGGAAGGCTGAGTCAACTTTGAGCCTGGTGAGATTCGATCTGCCAAATTGCAGGCAGCTGGCAGATAGCAGAAGTAGCATGCAGTACTGCACTCTAACCACTGTGCCACCACAGCTCATTTAGCACAGCTCTGCATCTACTAAGTTAGCCTGCACCTGTGACTCCTTAAGTCTATTCTCTTTGGCTAATTTCTTCTAATGAAGGATGTATAAAATCTTCAGATTTTGAGTTTGGTTCCTGGCCCCAATTCTCTTTAATCCATTGGTAAGTCTTCAAACAAGAGGCCATGGTTGACTTCTCCATTATGGATCACCCATTTTTTACCAAAATATCTTTTGATGAGAATTAATCTAATTTATGTTGAAATCCATAGTCTATATGCCACAATATCTAGGCACCTGAGAAATTCAACCAGTTTTCTTCTTGGAAATTATTACCAGCTGGGTTATGATAATAGTCTTTTTTTTTTTTCCTGAGAAAGAAGATTTTCTTATCCATTTGTTATTTTAATGAAGAAGAATCTCATCATAACCCTTGTTAAAGTGTCATTAAACAATTACAAAAGAAACAAAGATGTTTGAAAGTGAATATTAAAAGTAATCTCTGTCTATCAGAGCAGAAATTATAAGCTTCACAGAAGCTTGAAGAGACAATCCCCAAAATAAAACCATTACCCTGCTAATGAAATTGTAGCATTTTTAAAATTGTTTTGGACACTAATGTCTTTTCACACATTTTAATTCTCTACATAGCTGAAGCAGGAAGAGAAAAAAAGGAACTATTATGAATATAATGCCATCATATATATAATTGAATATTAAACTTGTGTGAGATTAAATAACTTCAAAGGAGGACAGGAAACTAAGAAAGACAACAACATTTCCAAAATCCTCCTGTCTTGTACCAACAAGGACAAATTGAAATATTAAAAGCTGCTTTGATACAGGGAAGAGAGGAAAGATTGCTTCCGATGATCAGAATCTCAAGATGGACAAGGTAAGTCAAATTTGCAGTCTATAATTTTAGGGCTGTGCAATTCTTCAAAAATTATTTAGAACTTGAAAAAGAGTTATGATACCACTCTTTAAACCAGTTACATTTTCCTTCACATTGTGTTAAAAGCTAGCGTGGGGGTGGGGAGCTATGGATGAACTAATGAAGAATAATTCCAACTGAATTTCTAGATTTAAGTATATAAACATGCATATAGATTCAGTACTAAGCAAGCTTCAGTTTATGTGTCATAGAACTGTAACTATATAGGATATATGTTTTAATTTGTTTATTTATTTAATTTGTTTTCTACCTTTTTTACTTTATAAGAAACCCAATACTTAATCCTTAATACTCATGCCTACTTCTATTTTCCTCACAAAACATTGTGAAGTAAGTTGGGCTGACAAGAGTGACTGGTCCAAAGTCACCCAGCTGGCTTTTCTGCCTACAGCAGGACCACAACTCATAGTCTCCTGGTTTCTAGCCTGGTGTCTAGACCACACTGGCTTTCTTCTTCCTCACTCTGCCCCACTCCTCCTGGTCATCAGGCATTTGCAACTTGCAGTCTGCCTAAAATGCTCTTCAAAATTATGTATGCTAGCATAGAATTGTGAACTTTGAACTGAATCTAGCTGCAGTCATCTTTCTGTTCCTCAGTTGCCATACAGAGGGGGAAGAGGGGAAGGAAGTTGGAATGCTTTACTAGATAAAACAAAGAGCTTTCTCATGAGAACCAAGGTCATCTCTACTGGCAACAGATAAGGTTGGGGAAGGAGGCCCTGGAGGCCCACCAATTAACCCAATTGTCCAACGTGACCTGTGATATTTTGGATGGGGTTATTTCCAAGTTTAATTACACTGAAACCATGGGAAAAATTTAGATTTGGTTTTCCATTGAAGCTGTGCCATTATAATGTATTCATTAAAGAAGACCTTTGAGAAGGAGCCAAGTCTCAGAGTTCTGATTTGCTTGGGTTCATTAGTTGGAGTCTTGACAAGAATATTATTGTCCCATGCATACTTAATGTTGTTATAGCTGTAAACCTGGGAAAGAGGGGGGTGAATAGTCCAACTATTCAACTTAACTTCCTAACATGTATGCAGTCCACAGGACAATCTGATATTCCAAAAGCTCCCCAGATGTTGCCTCCAGCCTCATGCCACCCCTGCTCTTCAGAACCTCCTTCCTTGTTTTCATACCTATCCTTTCACCTGCTTTTTCTTCTTCAAGCTGCTCTTTTCTCTATGCTAATTGAAATCTGTCAATAGACAATGCACCCGAACCAGTCAATATTTTGATAACACAGATTTTTTCCCCATTTAGTTCAATTTGTTCCTGAATACTTTTTTTCAGAAAAATAACAAATCAGGACAAATTGGATCACTTGCTTGCCTTGCAAGACATTGTGAAGTATTTTATGCAGATGAACATTTCATAGCATACACACATAATGAATTGTGCATATAGTTGCAATTCATAATTGGCAGAGCCAAAATAAATGAGCAGACCTTGATTTGACAAGGCTGAATGCTCTTTCCAGATGTTCCTTCCAATCTGAAAGGGCTGATTGATTTCAGCAGAGCACACTTGACAGTCACCTGGCTTAGTGCAAGGCAAGCAAGCAGCTTGATGATACACATTTGTCTAGTGCAATGGGTAAAGATTTCTAGTTTCTAAGTTTTTGTCATGTATCATTACTGCTTATATTAAACAGGAAGTTTCATGGATGTATAAAGAAGCTAAAATATTTTGGTTACAAATACATACATTAATTCTGAAGATTTTAAAATTAAAGTATACTAAACCTGCAAATTTTTCTTCTGGGACTAATGAATAGGCAACTATTCATTATATATACTATGGGACTTGTACATGTGGTTAAATTAACTTCCTTGATCAATATCTCTCTGTGTGTGTGTTTATATTGATCAAGGAAGTTAATTTAGCCATCTCTGAAAGTCCCATTGGGTGTGTGTGTGTGTGTGTGTGTGTGTGTAATAATTGCCTATTCATTAATCGCAAAAGAAAAATCTGTGGTTTCGGTTGTATCTTAATTTAAATATGATAACTGCAATGAAATTATTATATGCTCAAAAGTAGAAAAGTTTGACAATGAAAGAATAGCCTGTGAAGATTATGGAACTTGTAGGGATGGCTAAATTCCTTGATCAGAGAAAAGGCAGTATCTACATTAACGATTGATTGGAAATGACTTGTACAATATAATTTCTTCATAAAATGGAAAAATGTTAACTTATTACTTGTAGTTTTGATGAATAGAAAAATGGATAATAGAAAAAGTAGAAGTTTTTTTATAATCATAGAAGATAATTTTGTAATCATATTTCCTGCAGATGAAGTCAGAAACTTCTATTTGTACCCAGACAACACACTGTTTATATGGAAGATGGATTGTTTGTTTTTAAAGTAAAACAAAATTAAAAAAAAAATTAAAAAAGAAACTTCTATTTCTTTTTATTACTTCTCCCTGTGCTTTTATTTTTTCCTTCTCTCTTTCTTTCTTTGTTCTTCTTCTTTCATATTAATTTGTGTTTGATTTGTTTTCCTTAAATCTTTTAAATACTGGTTTTTAAATGGCAGTAGATTCCAAAATTAACTGGGGTGGGGGATGATGTCAGTGTACAATTATTGGACATAATGGTGCTGACCTACATGTTTAGTTTAATCAAGTATCTTTGGCTTCCTTTAAAAGATTATTTCTGTTGCATAAATATAGCATGACGAATTTTACTCTCCAATTGAGCAAGGAATGAGAATTTCCACCTCTGTTGAAATTTTGGACAATGACATCCATCTTATTGCAGGAAATGTGAGAAAAATTACACATCCAGAGTCCCATAGTACTGATTGCAAATTATAGTTAGGTCAGATCCCTTGACTCAAAAGATTCCAGATCTAAGTTTTCATTTGGGGGATGAAACAGGTGTGGTTGGAAAAATATTCATGCCTATCTAGCTGCTCCATTATCCCCCCCCCCCCATACACATAGCTTACTCAATGAAAAATGCTAAAGCAGCTGGTGTGTAATCAATCCCTTCTCTTCCTCAGAGGGACTGGAAAGCTCTCTAATAACCCAATATAGAATAAGCTCTACCATAAAAGATGTCACATCACCAAAGATAAGGTTAGTAAGGAAGACACCAGGGAAAGATACTGAGAATTTAGGATTTGGGCATGGCACAAACTGAGATCCAGAACAGAGTTAAAAATTGACAGATGGGTGGGTATAGCATCACAATGCAACCCACTACTCCTCTTTTATATGGGTATACAATAAAATACACAAGAGCAATAAGACTTGACTCCTGACACTGCACATACTATCTTGCAGATTCTTCACACCCACTCCCCATGAATGCCACTGGATTGTTGAATAGCATAACTTCGTAAACATGCATGTATTGAATGTTGTTTAATGGACAGTTTAGAATAGAAATAAATAGCAATATTGTATTTCAAGTGAAAATTCCTGAACTCCACAAATCCAAAGCTTACCAGTTCCTGATATTTTTCATAGGAATATTTTTTCCCTAGCTCATGCTGGCAGCAATTTATCTGAAAGATCTGGCAGCTAGCAGAAGCAAAAAATTCACTTCTTCAGGTGACTACCCTGAAAATCGGTTTCACCGACTGAATTAATTCTGAAAATTTTAAAATAAGTTCCAGAGAATTTAGGTAATAGCTTTTCTGTTTCCTGTACATAGGATTTGATCAAATCCACATTCTGAGGAAAGTTAGGCTATTTCAGGTACGAATTTATGCTTCACAAAGTCAAACAAAGGCAAACTATTTCTGAAGCAGTCAGAATTAAACTGGAACATTGTCAATTTTATGTCTAATTTAGAGCTTCGGAGCACATCTACACATTATGCCTTTTCCTTCATAGTGATATATACATTCAATCAGCAATCATGAAGAATCTAAGAATAGAAGAACCAGCTCTAGTGGACAAAGGCAAGCCTTATCTTAATTCGGCATCTGGTTTCTCATAGCAGCCCAACCACAATTTCTGAGCTGCTCTCAGGCAGGAGGTATAGATCTTCTAGCCCTGTTCCCCTACAATTTGTATTTAGAGACATACTAAACTATGGTAGCATAAAGCATATTTTTATAATGATACATCTGACAACTTCTAAGAAGATCTCACAATCATAACCTCACTGTGGTGGCGCAGTGGTTATAGTACAGTACTACAGGCTACTTCTGCTGACTGCCATCTAACTGCAACTTGGCAATTAAAATCTCACTAGCCTCAAGGTTGGCTCAGCCTTCTATCCTTCCAAGGTGGGTAAAATGAGGACCCAAATTGGGGGCAATATGCTGATTCTCTAAACTGCTTAGAGAGGGCTGTAAAGCACTATAAAGCAGTATATAAGTCTAAGTGTTATTGCTATTCTTACTATTCCCCAACCCAATGTTAACACTGAGACCTCAAAACCAATACCCTTTGATAGATTTCCCCTCCAAGAGCATATTCAATCCTCTCTTAAATCTATCCAGTGGATTTCCGAGGAAAGGGTTCCCATGAGATAAAATATTGGTACTTCATTGGGATGAAGCATGTGGAAGCTTCTTTCATTGCTGCTATCTTTACCCCCCAAAAAGGATTGACTCATTTCACAGGATTCAGCATCTTCCACATGGTTTCTGGGTTCCATATAAGATGCTGGAATGATGTTTCTTTCGATTCTGTATTGCTGTGGCATCTGCAGTGGGCATCTGTCAGGAGTTTTAGGCTAAGAGCAACAGAGGACGTAGTTTCTTTACACTTAATTTACCTTGAGGCAACCAGCTGTATTACTTCTACTTATGGAATAGAGCACTGAATTACACACACACACACAACCATACAATTATTGCTGGGAAGAAGAGGAAATATGATTCTGGGATCTTCTTAGAAGTTAAGTTGTCAGATGTGTCATTGTAAAAATATGCTTTATGCTACCGTAATCAAATGGGTGACCCATAACTGCTAGAATTATTTTGTAAAAAAGAAAATATATTACAGTTAGTTTAGTTTGTTGTTTCAGCAAGTTCTTGAACTGTGACCACAGGCTCTCAGTACATCTATCAGCTTTCAACTTAATTATATACAAAAGTACTATCTACAAGTCAGTTCCCTCCTCAAAAATAATATATTTTTTATAATCACAGGTTTTCAGATAAGGCTATGAATTGTTTTAAGGCAATTTCCTTAGTTTTTTTTTAACTCTTTAATAGTTGCTGAATTAATCCGATGCTTGTTTGTATCAAAATCAATTTTGCCTTTATAAAGTGGTCTAGATACTTCACATTTATCAATAAGCTCTATTGGAGATTCTTTGTCTCTCTCTGACTCTGACTCTGTTTCTATCTCTGTCTCTGTCTCTCTCCCTCTCTCTCATGCCATTGATAAACGTCACAAGCCCTTTTTAGATGCTTACTTAAATGCACAAAGAAGTGAAACACATGGGAAAAGAGTCAATGCTGTATTCTATCACCTCCTATCTAGAATCCAGTTGGATTGGCGGGGTCAGAAATAATGTTAATTATTCAAGCAATTGAGTTTGGTCAATCCCAATCTGAACTGGGTGTATTTGAACAGCTGGATTGTTCTAGAGTACTTCTCTAATATTAATATGTATTATTTCTCTTTTTTTTAACGGTGACTCCGAAAAGCTAATTTAGAAATAGATTGCAAGTGACAAAATATTATCATTTGCTCAACAAAAGCTTGCTGAAATGATCAATTCTGCTCCTAATTGAGTAAAACAGGCAAAATCATTGATAGGAGGGGAGAACACCCAGAAGTATCATACTGTTGCTGCATAAATCTTATATTATGTGCATTTTTGGTTGGCCTGTCTCAAAGACTGACAAATTTCCAAAAAAGAAAAAAAATGAAGAGGGAGCATCTTACTCCATCTCTTCCAATCTAAGAAGAGCTTGTTACTGGGCTAAAGTCAAGCAGAAGATTAGGGATCAAGAAAAAAGAGGGTTTTTATTTTTATCCACTGCTTAATTAACCTTTCCAGAAAACTTGGCAAGGAACACCAATGAAGATGACTTTAAAAGGGATTAAATGAATTCCTGGGGGACTTGGAACCTCTAGATTCATAAATGCATGTTTCTATGAGATGTCAAAGGAAACAATGGGAAACAGCATTCCCCATCAGTCTTTCTGATGAGCTTTCAGGGAGAGCTGACAGGACACCATACGAAAAAGATTCCTGGAAGTTAGATTAAAAATGAGGCAGGGGAGGAGATTTTCAGGGAGAAAGTGGTTGGCAATAGAAAGCTTCGACACCCTGTTATTGACTGAATCAATGGCAATTGTTTTGATAGTTTTTTGTTGTCAAAATTGTCTAACTGTTAAAATTACACAGAAGTTCACTGGGCAAAATATTTATCCAAGCTGTGGCTCTTCTTATAATTTGGATAACATTTTTAGAATTAGAGTGGTTATATATATTTTCTAATTCAGTCTAATCCTCCCCACCAACTTGCAGCAGACACTGATGCTAGGAGTAACAGGAGCATTCATAGGGTGTTTGTGTCAGAAAAGTCAAAATGGCAGCCACAAAAAGTTCCACTACTTTTTAATGTTTGTTGCATGCACCACACATGCAAAAAAAAAAAAAAAAAGACAAGATCCCTGATATTGAAGCAGTACAAGCCTTTTTATTGCCTCTGGCTATAGTTCTGTTGATCTTGTTATACTACAGGAACTTATTTCTACACACATTTCACTGAGAAAATGGGGTGTGCCTTGATCTATTGGCAAAGTCTTACAAGATTCAAAAGAAAAACTTGGGACTTTTTCTTATGGCCAAGCTAAAATGCTACCTCCCAATTCTTAGCCAGCCGAGAAATATATGGCATAATTGATGCTGCCTCCATTGCAAATCACGATTCTGTCACTGTGAGTTATTATCTACAACTGCATGCAAACATTTAGGCTAACCCGGTGAGTCTATATGTTGTGCTGAATCTCAAAGTGAACAGAAGCTGACATAACCTCCACATGCTACAAAGTTAAACATGACAAGTTTCTGCAAATGTGAATGCATTCTTGTTATTTTGGTGAAGATGTTGAAGCTTCAGAATGAGAAAACTGTGAATATGGACAGTGCAAAAAATCCAATATCTTTTCAGTCAGTACTTTGTAACATCACCTTGGGGGAAAAAACAGCTTCCAGTCATTTTCTTGTAAGTAACAATGAGTTTTTCTATTCTTCACCCACTCTCTGCTGCTGAAGCTTAAATATACAGTATTCTTATATTTTATTGCATGTATTCTATTATGAGCCAAGCTAAGGGAAAGGGATTATAAATGCTGTAAAAATTTCAGATGCTAAAAGTCAAGTAGCCAATTCAATTTGGTGTTAAAATGTGGTTGTTGCTGTATGACAAAGAAAAGAGATGCTCCCTGGACTCACTAGGAGCTAATCTGTCAGAGTGGGGCTCCTCTTCTCCAGAGACATGATAAAGAGTTGGCCTTCTCGCCAAATGCTCCAAAGGTAACAGAATTCCATGGGCAGGGTGGGGTGCCTAGTTGACCCTTACACCAATTTCCAGTACTTAAAGAATGGAGATAAAATTTCATTTATTCTGGAATTTGTGTTCATAACGTTTCTCCAACAATACGGCCTCCCCTAATAGAAAGTCCCAGCATGTTTTATAGGCATGAAATGAAATTAAGCCCCTCCCTCCAAATTAAGGCCTATATTAAAACATGCGAAATGGGGGGGGTGGGGGATGGCAGGGAGGCTTGCTGCTAGGAAGTACTTTTGTTGCACACCCAGATATGGTGCTGCCTGTATTGACCCTGATACAAAGTGCCCCACCAAGGCTGAGGTCAACATCCAAGCCGTCGCTGCCCGCCCTAAGATGCAAGGTGGGGGGATTAAGTCACCCCCAAAAAAGACGGCCTAGCAATTTTTTGGGGGCTCAAAAAAAAAAAAAAAAGACCCGGCCTTATTATATGAGAAACACGGTATGAGCCTCAGTGGTGCAGTGGTTAGAGTGCAGTACTGCAGGCTACTTCTGCTGACTGCCGGCTGCCTGCAAATATCCCCAGGCTCAAGGTTGACTCAGCCTTCCATCCTTCTGAGGTGGGTAAAATGAGGACCCAGATTGTTGGAGGCAATATGCTGACTCTGTAAACCTCTTAGAGAGGTCTATAAAACGCTATACAAGTCTAAGTGCTATTCTGGGATGACGCTTGAAGGCACACTAAAATGTTGTTTTCCCCCAGTCCTGTTCTTATAGCAATAAGGATATCATGTTGTGACTGGCTCTGATTGTACTATGCTTTTTGGAAGCAAATACAGGTAGTCCTCAATTTACAACAGTTGATTTAGTGACCATTCAAAGTTACAACAGCCCTGGAAAAAAAAGTGACTTACGACTATTTTTCACACTTGCAACTTTTACAGCACCTCCATAGTCACATGATCAAAATTCAGATGATTCATATTTATAACAGTTGCAGTGTCCCAGGGTCATATGAATCCCCTTTTGTAACCTTCTGATAAGCAGAAGGTCCAGGGGGAAGCTACATTCATTTAACAATCCTGTTACTAATTTAACAACTGTAGTGATTCATTAACAACTATGACAAGAAGGGCCATAAAATGGGGTAAAATTCACTTCACAAATGTTTCACTTAGCAACAGAAATGTTGATCTCCATTGTGATTATAAGTTGAGGACGACCTGTATCTTTTTCCTTTAAAAAAAATAAACTCAAGATTTCTCTCTTCCAGTAGTTAAAAAAACCCCATCCATTTGAGTTAAAAATTCAGACAAGTAGGTTCCATGGTAATGAGAGTAGAAAACCACATTTCATTCTTGATGGATTCTTTCCTAGTCAATAGGAAAAATAGAATCACTCATTTAATTGTGTTTTCTTAGTATTTAACCTTTCTATTCCAATTGATTAATCTCCACAATTATTAAGTAGCATTTATAATTCATAAAAAGGGTAGTTATTGGAGGCTTGGAATGGGAATGCTTTCTTTCCCTCAGATTTTTTATTTATTTATTTATTTACTTACTTACTTACTTACTTACTTACTTACTTACTTACTTACTATCACAACCTGGAGTAAAAAGGTAAAACCAGGAATTCTAAGATGTGTGGTGAACAGTAACCTTACCTACTGCATTTGATGCACCTAAAGATGAATACCTTTTACCTCAAAGTCTCCTGCTCTGGAGCTGAGAGAATTTGATGTATACATTTGATGTATATTCTCATGAACCAACCATGCCAGCCCAGCTGTCGTCAGGGGATGCTTTCCTTGGAAACACTGTAAGCTCTCCAGGAACAGAAAAATGCATAAAAATGCCACATTTTGCTTGGACCCCAAGCTTCGTTGCAATGGGAATTGCTGAAAGTATTAAACCAAGCATAGTCAGAAACATTTTTTTTCCCCTGGCAATAAATAAGTAACTAAATCTGTTTAATTAAGCAAAGATGAACAGGGTTATTTCCAAAACAGGGTGAGGATTTTGCTAACATGCCTGCATGTTAAAGAATAACAGACACAAAAATTGCTGTGCAAAATTTCTTTCTCTATTCAGCCTCTCAAGTAATGTTTATCCCTCAGTTAAGCAGAGCAATTAAAGATTGTCTCACTGAAAATTTCTGCCAGATTTATAGTAGCCTTCTTTAATTTGGTGTCCTCCAGCTGAGTTGAAACTTCATCTTTTAAGTGTTTATTATGCATTTGTAAGCTGTATGATTAACCACTTTGGTGTAATTTTTAAGGCACCAGACTAGAAATTAGGAGACTGTGAGTTTTAGTCTGACTTAAGTACAAAGCCAGCTAGGTGACCTTGTAACACATTCTCTCTCTCAGTTCTAGAAAGGATGCACTGGTAAACCACTTCCAAAATCTTATCAAGAAAACTGTAGGGACTTTTTCAATCAGTTGCCAAGAGTCCGGACAGGACAAGACAGGAAAAGAAAAAATATAATATCATTAATGAAAAGCACTATCCTGACTTTAACTTATGTCCAGAGACAGTGTGTTGTGACCCGCCGGCAGCTGACGGAACTGGCAGCAGAGTTGGACAGTAGTGAGGAAGTTGAGGAGGAACCTGGGCCGGGTCTGGAGGCTGAGGATGATCCAAAGGAGGACACTACTTCAGGGCAGATATGGGGCCAGGGCAGGCTGGCAGTCAGCGGCTGCCTTTGGGTTCGTACAGCAGTGATGTGGGGGAGTTTATGGAACCAATTCCCAGCCTGCACATGCGCAGAGCTAGCAGAAGACAAAAACAATTGGGAACATCGGGTCGACTCAGGAGTAAGGCCACACCTAGGAGATGATTGGCCCCTCCCATGGGACATAAAAGAGGAGTGAACAGGATGTGAGCTTTTGCAGGAAGCAATTAGTTTGATCAGTTCAAGCTTTGAAAAGTGTTGTTTGACTCTGTGTCAAGTTTGGCTTTGCCCTGTGTTTGGCAATTAGTTCTCTGGCCACATTCCAAGTGTGATAAGGTGGGTGTTTATAAACATTCCTCTGAAAGACTGTTTGTGAAGCCTGGCCAGCTGTGAATGAACGTAATTCACAGCTGTGGAAATAAAAGAGGTTTTGTCAGGATTAAGATTATGTTTTATGCTTCCTAAGGAAGCCTAGGTCAGAACACAGTGTTCCACTATTGACTCTGACCATAATGTCATAAAATTTGTCTTCCTCAACAGCCGCAACCTTAGATTAATGTATTTCAGGTGGACATCTCTGCAGGAAGTTTGGGTGCCCTATACTGTATGAAGTTGAAATAAGGCCAGTGTTGTATTTTCTATTCTTGGGGTGCCCATGGGGGAGTGAGAAAGATATGGGCATCAGCCTGATGTTCAAAGCCCCATCTCTTCTTTCATGAGTTGATTGTGCAATGCATATAAAAACAAAGTAAGGCTTTGCCTGTGTAATCAAGACTCTCTCCTTCCTTTCCTTGCATTCTGTGGCTCTTCTACACATCGGTAACTTGTAAAAGGGCTACAGGTTTTTTTAGTTAATTAATTTTATTTTTTACTGAAATGGCAATCATTTTAAATAAAAACTCTGGCATAATAAATATCATCTATCAGATTGTATGGATCCAGCCTCCTACAAAGCCTAAACATTATTAAAAACATGTGGATACTCAAGATAAGGCTACTTGGAAGACTAGAGTCTTGTTCCATACCTGGATAGAATTTGGTTCTTTGGTGTTGATTATGGAAAGAAATTTACCCCTTTCTTTTCTACAGAAACATATCTGAGAACTGAGGCTCTTGACTTTATCTTCTGGAATCATTTGGAGTCTACTATGCTGAAATTGAATCAAATTAATTAAAAATGTCCCTACACAAATTTGTATTGGAACAATTTGGGCCTTAGTACCCCAAGTCTGGAACAGACTTCTTAGCTAAGTTGGGATGGGGGGGAGCAAAGGGCACATTTCACTATGTACCATATGTTCTCTAAAAACCATAGGACATGTTTCTATCACTCAATGTTATCAATATCAATGTTATCTTAGTATCAAGATAACCTATTTGTTGACCATCTGTCCTTGTAATGTAGCAGAGCCTTCAACTCAGTGACAGGGATGCAGCTGGAAAGCAGGCTTTTTATTGGAACATACAACACAGCTTGCCTGTCTTCCAGCCAAATGGGAATAGCAATCTTGTGGATGATATTCCATGAAGTTGCTATTCCTACCAATAACATCTGTGCTACCTCCTACCAAATGATCTATTTTTTCTCCTTTCTTTTGTCCTTTTCAGAAAACATATTAACTTGACAGAGAACATCCTGGAAAGAGACCAGCATGGTTTTCCTCTTCTCCAGAAATAGGGATCCTTCAACCTCCTTGCTCTTCTTTTCTTCATGACACTTTAACTTCACAACTTGACCTCATGTGAAGCTGATTTTGAGGATGAAGAAAAGCACAGCACCATAGGAGTGTGGGGGAAAACCTATAGTGAGCGTGAGGAATTAATAAAGACCCATTGTTTAACAGGCCAGGTTTTGCTTGCCAAGTCCCAATCCTTTTTATGATTACTGTATACTTTTTGGAGCAGGTAAGCACTAGTGATTCAGCATTTTTATTTCCATGGAATCTGCATGAGACTTAGATGGGTCCCAAATCATTAAATAAAAATGATGCTGGGGGCTAGTACTTTTTGTTATTTGTCATATTTTCACTTTTTTAATTGGAAAGATCTTTAAAGAATTAAAGTCAGGTGTGACAGGATGCCCGAAAACACTGTTTCCTTCTGCTTTAGAGAGTTAAATCTGGCTTCCTTGATGTTGGGTTTTGTTTCTTTTTGTTTTGGTTTGGGGTTTTTTTTTGTTGTTGTTGTAAGGCTTGTTTGGATTGTTGTTGGGATTTTTTGCAACTAAGATAAAATGTTATGCTATTGGCCTTTTCCAGATGACTGTTTTTAAGAAATATTTAGCTATATTGCAGCTGCTAGTTACTGAGTTGTGTTGTAAATATATTGCTTAGACTGCTAAACTGTTATTTTACTGCATGCCAATTTACTATTTATAAATCAATTTCACTCTATTAAAAAAAAAGGCTAGGGTTGAATTGCAAGAAAAAGATAAATAAAATTACACCCATGTTCACACAGTGCTTCTTCCAGAAAATTAGTACCCAGTCTCCTGCTGTCAGATTTTGCAGACGTTTTATTACATGTGAGTGAACTGCTGTGTTCACTGTTTGAATTGTTTTGGTAGATTTATCTAACTTTTCTAGCTGCAGCCTGAGAGATGAAAACTTTCCAATATTATAAACAGGTTTACTATAACCACCAGCAACTGGCCTGTGAGAGGAAGCTTGGCTAGGCCTTGATGAGGCCTAGCAATGGAATTCCCAGCAATGGAATTCTTCTCACTTAGATACAAAGACCACATGATTCTCCTTGACAAAGCACTTCATATTACCTTGAAGCCTTAACTGACCGTTCCAATCATTCATCTACAGTAGAAAAGCAGCTACTAGTATAACCTGGGGGTGGATTCAGAAGAGAGGAAAGGCAAAGTAGCATATTGCAACCACTTTGTTCCTGTATTAGGGGTAAAGAAGCCATGCCATCTTCCAAAGTAGGTGTTTTACCTTTTTCAAAAATCTGCACAGCTACTTCTGGGGAAGCAAAAGAATAATAAAATAACAGAGTTGAAAGGTCTTCTAGTCCAAGCCCCTGCTCAGGCAGGAAATCGTATACCATTTCAGACAAATGGTTGTTCAATCTCTTCTTAAAAACCTCCAGTGTTGAAGCACTCACAACTTCTGGAGGCAAGTCATTCCAGTGATTGAGCAAAATAAGGAGCTGGTGAATGAATAAGGTGAATAAATTCCTCTATGAATAAGGAAGAGACTTGGAAAATGCCTGTTGAGGTAATTCCCCATTAGGAGAATGAGTGCATACAGGGAGACATATTTGAGAGTAGTGTTTGAATAATACACGCACAGTACACAGATACACTGTACAGTAAATGTAGGTTTTTACTTCCAGAAACGTTAAGCAAAGTCCAAAATAGGCAGTCCAAAAGTCATTCACAGATAAATCAGTCAGTTTTTCAATCCAGGGATAATCCAATAACAAATTCCAGTGTCAAAACAGTTCAGTATCAGACTTACATTAAATCCAGTAATATCAGTCAATTAGAAGAAATGGAGGAACAGCAATACGTTCCAAACAGAAGGAAACAGTGATACACTTACACTCTCTTCTGAGACTCAGACTAAACAACCCAGGTTTCTGGTTCCATCTTATGGCTGTTTGAGAAACCACACCCAATTGCGTGCTCTTGCATTCCCTTAAAGATATAGTACTAAAATGTTTATCCTGGTTTATATATTTCTAACCCAAATAGCTGTTGGGTGACTTATATTCCTAACAATGCTCACATGTGCTCCATACAGTAGATCCCCATGAAGAGAGTGTAAGGCAGTGGTCTTTGGTTTATTTTAGAGCTCTGGGAGCTGAGGGATCACCATGAAGCCATGGATGGCACCTTCAAAAGGATATATGGTTTAGATACTTCCTCTCTTAATCATTTCTGGAACTTGCTAGTCAATTGCTTTTTGGATAGAATCTTCAAGAACAGCAAGTTTCATTCCACTGGGTGAGTCTCTTTCAATCCTTAGCAAAAGAAGTTTTATGAAAGTTTAAGTTCTTAAAAAATATTTTGGAATAAACAACAACAGGATGATTAGAACATTGATTCCAAAAAGTTATAAGCAGACTAGGGGACCAGATTGATTAGAAATAAGATTTTGAGATACAGGTTTTGAAATAAATTACAAAAATCCTTCCTGTGGTAAAATGTTGTTGTTCTGTCGCGGGAAGGAGCACTCGAGACCAGTTAGACTTCAAGCTCTTTTATTTCGCTCTTAGTGACTTTTCCCAAACCGGAGCTGCAGCAGCCTCTTTTATAGCAGCTGCTTGCGGCTCGCGGCCAATGACGGCTCCTTGAAATTCCCACCATCAGACGGACCAATTGAAAGACAGTATTACAAGTATTCAAAATGGACCAATCAAATGCAGTATTGAGGACCAATCACAGGTAGCATTGATGGACCAATCACAATGCAGTATTTCAAGTATGCAAATATAGAACAGTTGTTATTTACAATTCTATAAAAATATAAAGATTTTAATTAAGCATAAGAATTTTTTCCATGAAAAAATACTGTTGTTTGGGAAAAAAAGATGGGACTTTTAAGGTTAAACACTAGAGGGAACCAGAAAGAATTAAACAGTATGACTAAAGGAGAAAATACCGACTAATACAAAATGGAAAAATATACTCTAACTTTGGGTGAGTTCAAGAATATTTGGGAACAATGTACTCAGAAATTGCTTTTAAGATTGTCTGCTATCATATAACTGGATTTAAAAGAAGTTATAGAAAAAGAAAGAGGTTTCATTGGACACAACTAAGACAGACTGATTCAAATAAATTTGAAAAAGATAGGTTACAAGAATGATATGGAAAATATGTTACACTAGATATGCAGTTGAAACCAGATTATATCTTAATAATTAAAAGAGGTATACAAATAACAACCAGAATAATGATTTTTCTGAGAAAAGTTTCTAAGAGTTTTCTAAGAAACAAAGAGAAA